CTATCTAAAAATTGATAATTAACAATAGGAAATGAAAAATCATCTCCTTTATCATAAATTTTGGTATTTAGCTTCCCGTTAAAGATACAGATATCACGATTCAGGAAAGGGCAGTGTTCATTGTTAGTATTAGCTTTATTTAAAAGTCGGTTCAGCAGGATAAATCTATTTAGTGTACATACTGAACTCGTCCTTATTGAGAGCCAATATATCATCCAAATATCTAAAAGTGTTATTAAGTTTTTGTATCAGATGTTGTTGCGATGGGTTTGCTGATTTTAGTCATAAATTGTAACTCATAACAATACAGAAACAGGTCCGTAAAAAGTGGTGCAGAGTTAGTCCCCATTGGAATTCCGATAATTTGACGATATACGGAATCTCCATAACGAACAAAAATGTTATCTAGTAAAATTTCATAGGCAGTTATAGTATCAAAGCAGGTCCAACTGACATAGTTCTTTTGTTTGTTGTTACTAAAAAATTACATGAAAGAGTTTGAACATATATATATTCGCATTCTGACTTTTTAAATAGCCATTTCGTTAGGTGCGTGAATTTTTTCTTAGTAAGATTATGAGGCAAAGTGGTATATAGGGTATAAAAATCAAAACTTTGAACCAATATAGGCATGCAATTTATCAAGTTCGAACTTTCATTCTATTTGGTTCTGCTTGTAAAGAGATAGCTATAAGTTCATGTTTGTTACAGATGTCATTTTTCGAAAATGGAGTAAGTTGGAATGTTGGTGAATTCGTGATTTCCTTTAGTAGTACCTCAATTTAAAATTTACGTCAAACAATGATGATATTATTAGCAGCTTTGGTATTACTGCAATTTCACGACGTAGGTGTATTGTCACTGATATTAACATCTTTACACACTTCGCTTTAATTAAACACATATTTCCGGGTAGATATTTTGTAAACATAACAAATAAGAGGGAGTTCAGTTTTATCAAAATAGGAATTTGTTCTTTAACAGAATGATCATTAAAAAATACCGGCAATATTTACAAAATCAAAACCTTTATTGACATATTTGATTTTAATAAAATGTTTTTTTATAATCTTCAGGACGATCAATTTTTGGAAACAGCTTAGAATAACAATATGCAATTATAATTTGGACGATTTCATACTTACGACTGCAATATGGAATTGTGTTGCAATCGTATACAATTTGATGTAATTTATTAACAGGTAAAGAACAGAGCTTGGTGAACAGATACTGTCTGCCGTTTTTTTTTTTTAATAGTAATTAGGTCCGAAATATTTGTATTGTTGGTACGAAATTTTCTTTGATTGCGATTTTACGCGCATAAGAATGGTTTATACAAACAGTTTTAGAAACTATATCCAAAATGTTAACAGAATCGGTTCTTGATATATTACCAATGCCCATAATATTATCATTGAGACCGAGACGATAGACTGTCTGTAATTTTTTAATCCATTTTTTAATCCAATGTAATTCAATTATTCTCATTGATCGTACAAACTTTAAATGTGATTCACCAGACTGCCTATGGGAACTGTGCGCCTCTCCTTGTTGACCTCTTCTTATTTTCTTATGAGTCTGGGTTCCTTCAGACACTTGTCAAAAACAAGAAGATCAAAGAAGCCAGATCATTTAATTTCACATTCAGATATATTGACGATGTTCGTTCCATTAAAAATCCAAACGTTTCTGATTGGGTTCTATTAATATATCCTCCAGAACTAAAAATTAAAGAAATAACAGACAAGGCTTCCTTTGCCTCATTTGTAGACCTATACCTGAATTTGACATAAGCGGTCATCTCAGTACCAGAATCTATGACAAACGAGACGATTTTATTTTGAAATTATCAATTTCCCCCACCTTAGCAGCAATATACCAACTGCACCTGCATATGGCATATACATTTCCCAACTCATTCGGTATTCAAGAGCTTGCAGCTGCTACTCAGACTTTGTAAAACGTCACCAGTGTCTGAGCAGAAAGTTGATGAACCAAGAGTATGTCAAAGAACGTCTCGTCCTTTTTCTAAAAAAGTATATCGGATGATACCAAGACCTTGTTGATAAATATTCCGTATCAACTTCACAAATAATACACGACGGTCTTGAAGTATAGATTCTAGGTACTGACGTTCTTTATCATCTTCATAACGTGCTTTTTTATTCTTTTATTTGTGTTTGCAAATAAATATTTTTACTGTTTAATCTGTTTTTGGTAATATTTGACGTGGCTCGGTAATTATACATCTCGTCATTGTGTCATTGTGCTATAGTAAATTTTTGTATTCTTGTCTTTCATTTTTGCTAATGTTCTTTTTTTTGTCTTTTTTTTTTTGTTGACATATTTTTTTTTATAGTGATTAAGATTATAACACAATGTTGACTGCTGTACCCCTATTTTTGACATTTTTACCTATTATGTCTGTTTGCTTTGTTCACACATCGTTGCCAATATAATGGAATTTCATGCGACTGTCATACAAGTGAGAGGTTTAGCAAGCTATAATACCAGGTTTAATCCACCATTTTCTACACAATAAAATGCCTGTACCAAGTCAGGAATATACAGTTGTAATCCATTCGTTTGATGTGTTTGAGATTTTGATTTTGCCATTTGATTAGCGACTTTCCGTTTTTAATTTTCCTCGGAGTTCGGTATTTGGGTTGAACTTTTAAATATTTAATAGGATGATAGTGCTTATTAAGGTGTTGATAAATGATACTTTTGAATTTATGGGGTCTTTTAAAACGACAAAGGTGTTCTTGCGTGCGTTTAAGGTTCATGTGGACCCTTTGCCTAAAATGGCTGCATTTTCACCTCAAAATTTACTCTGAGGACAGACAAACCTGCGCATCTGGAAAAGTTTTAAGGCATAGCATGCCCTAGATAAATAAACTTCTAATGCATTGTATGTTTTAGAAAATTTAAAACTTAACTGGATTTAGCAGTGCACTTTTTTTCGTCCCTGCAGAAGATGATAAAATTAACAAACAGTTGAGTTTCACTTGATATGGGCCACTCAGGTACACAGTTTAAATCACCAATTATTGTCAGGTATCTATTGTCCATCTATTGTCCATGTCAATCAAAACAGTTCACTTCAATTATTACCTGTGGGGAAGTTCTCAAACATCTTTCCCAACTTTGTTTATTTTGGCACCTTCTGGTGGAATGAAAAAAAGTGCACTGAAAAATCCGGTTAAGTTTTTAATTTTCTAAAACACAAAATATATTTGAATTTTATTTATCTAGGGCATGCTATGCCTTAAAACTTTTCCAGATGCACAGGTTTGTCTGTACTCAGAGTAAATTTTGAGGTGAAAATGCAGCCATTTTAGACGAAGGGTCCACATGAACCTTAAATAAATAGCGTCCAGTTTCACCTACGTACTGAATACTGCATCCCAGTTTGTTTCATGTTAGTGAACAGTAGATAAAACTGTTATTTTTTTCAATTTATATCAGTTTCAAAATTTAAGGAAAATGTGCGACCAATAAACGTGGACCTTACCGTATTGTTGGTGGAAAGACGGGAACATGTAAGTCGTTTTTGGCATGACAATTATCGATAGAAGGATAACCAAGATTTTCATTATTAAAAATGTTAGCGATAATAGTATTTTTAGATAAGCGATTTTGAAGATTGAGACGTGTCGATACCCTTTGAACGAGTTTGGTATTTAGTATTTTTCCGTTTCTGAGTTTTATTTTTTGTTTTTTGTCATTCGTTATCAAGTATAAACCTATTCAAGTACACCTTTGTGTGCTCTCCACTTCAGTAACCAGCATGATATTTAAAAAAAATAATTAAAGGTCCTCCTGACTTTCAAACCATACCTTACCAGACAACATGGACAAACAAGCGTAAATCAATGTATAAAATGTTTTTGGGGCCCTTTATAGCTTGCTTTTCGGTGTGAGCCAAGAATCCGTGTTGAAGACCGTACTTTGACCTATAATGGTTTACTTTTATAAATTTTGACTTGGATGGAGAGTTGTCTCATTGGCACTCATACCACATCTTCTTATATCTATATAATAAATAAATTGTGTAATAAAGTCCATGGACCCTCCTCAAAAAATATTCTTTTTCCACAAAGTGTAACGAAATAACAAATATTATTATTGTGTAATAGACACCTCCTTCAGGTATATTTACAATATGGCACGTGACTTAGTATATTTGTTGTTTTGAAACTATACAACAGTATGATGAAAACTCTGTAACACGCAGATGCACAGAAGGGTCATAACCTAAACTATTATCCATCAAATTGATAATTTAAAATTACATAAAATTATCGATACTAGTGTTCGAACTCCTCAAAATTGAATCTTGTATAAATTTCTTATCCCATATTAATTTATGTGGCATATATGGATATGATATTAAATAAGTAAGCTTGTAAACGCACACACAAACACACACACATTTACACACATTTTTACTTAACAAACCTGGCTTCAAATACTTGTACTCAAGTATTTATATGTATACCTTGTAATTCTACACCAAAGACAAAATAAAACATATTCAAGCAATTCGGGTATAGAAATGTAAAATTTATTCATTTTGATTTTTCTTTTTTTTTTCCATATCCAAATGGCTGCAATTTGAATTCATTGAAAATCTAAATATTTATCTAAAACAAAACAAACAAATAACCTAAACCGAATTCAAGCTAGAATATTTATTTTTTTTAACTAAATTCATGATATACTAGTACTTGTGTTTATTTTTTTTTCTTCTATCTTTTCCAACGTCTTCTTGGATTTAAAAGTAAATGTAAACTATTAAAGTGCACGGAGTGTTACGGCAAACCTCTCTATTTAGCATACCTATAGCAATAAAGCACGACTCGAACTGCCAAGCCTGTCAGTATACGTATTTGATATTTCAAATAAACAAATTTAATTTTGATTTATTTAAATTTTGACAATAGATATTGTATGCAACTATCAATTAAAAGTGAAAAGTATCATCCTATATTTTGCAGGCCATAGATAGATTAGGTGGGCAGCAGATGAAGCAAGAGTGTGATCAACTGAAAGCTAAACCTTTAGATCAAACCAATCAAGAAATAATGATAGACATCAAACGACTAATGAAATCAGTAAGAAATCTGAAACGCTCACATATTGATATGAGAAAATCCCATGATCTATTACAAGAAAACCATAAAAAAGTTAAGAAATCTCATGAATTGTTACAAGACGACCATAGAAAAGTGACAAAAGAAATGGAAATAATGAAAACCTCCCAGCAGGATACAGTACCATGGAATACTAGAGGTAAACAGTTAGAGAAATTGTATCAAGAGGTCAGATCACATGTGATTCAAAAATGTAATAATTCTTAGACGTCATAACTTGAACCTTGAAAAGTAAGAGGTTAAAATTCTGTAGACATATTAAAAGCTTGGTGTGTTGAAAGTTTACTCCTCAGAGAGGTAATTTCTCATACCTGAATAGGTCAAAAGTCATTACTCAGAGGTGTCGTTGATATCAAGAAAAGACAAGTTAAATTTTCATGATTTTAGAATTGAGAATGGAAATGGGGAATGTGTCAAAGAGACAACAACCCGACCAAAGAGCAGAAAACAGTTGTTTGTTCTGTTTAATGAGTGCCTGACTGGTCTACTCGTCTAAAATTAATGGTATGTTTATCCCTTGTCAGGATAGTATATTTCACAAAGCCTTGTTAATCTCATGTTAATTTTCAAAAAATATGCTTGATCCTCCATAACTTAACATGACAGGAAAACAACAAAATTTTGGCCGTAGATTTGTTGTCAATGTCTTGCTGGTCTAACCGTCTGAAATACATGGTATGTTCATCCTTTGAAAATATGTTACATTCTAGCATATTTCATTAAGCTCAACGTTTTAAGAATTATGCTTGATCCTCAATAACTAAACATGACAGCAAAACAAAATTTGGTATGTAGATTTATTGTAACAAGTATATAGGCATCTGAAATATTCAACATGGCCCTGCTTGCATTTCAAATTTTCAGTGGTCAGGGTATAACTTTTTAGGATAAGGTCTGATCCACTTGCTGTTCGGTGTGAGCCAATGCTCCGTGTTGAAGGCCGTACCTTGACCTATAATGGTTATAAATTGATACTTGGATGGAGAGTTGTCTCATTGGCACTCATACCACATCTTCCTATATCTATGAATTCATTGATATGTAAATTGGTTGCTACAAATAAAGATTCTCTGGCAAATATCATTGACTTACTCCAATGATCAGGTCTAATACTTGGACTAGCCTTTCTTGTAGGGTAAAACATTGTCAAAAACTGGCTTATAGCATGGTGATGTTGGGCTGGTGGGTGGGCGGGATTTCAGGGAATTTGATATTACCATTTTTCACCCTAGATCCCTAAGACTTGACCAAAGAATGTACACATGTTAAATTTTTGCACTTACTATTATGGAATTATTTAAAGAATTTTATTCACATATTTCTGGACTTGGAAACTTAGTTATTTTCCCGCAAAATTTATAACGTACATTTTACAATGATTAGTCACAAATAATACCGGCTCTCTCTGGCTCATATTTAGAAATATAGGTATTGATATCTAATCATATTCCAAAAGTTTTAAAGTTGAATTTGTGATCACGTTGGTTCTGATCTAAATAATTCATCTGGATATATCACTCACCTGTCATGTCTGCGCTTGTGAATATGAATCCTGCTTATGGCTTACGGTATGGCAATTTCTATGCTGACAATAATTGATTATGAGTGTCGGTTTTCCTGCTGAAGTTGGTGGTACTCCAGCCTCCAAAACCAACATAAAACGATTGCTATCATATAGCAAAGTGTACTGAAAGTGGCTTTACATATTAACAATCAATCAATCTAGTAAAGGTCAATTTATGTTAAGATAAAAAAAAAAACACAAATACGATACGATTGCCAAATAAGACAATTATCCACCAAAAACAAAAGAAACCATACTTTATTAAAAAAGTAATCATCAATCTGAAAGATTTAAGTTTACCTATATCATTTTAAGTTTTGGCTGACATTTCTAACAGGAGAGTTTTCCTATTATGATGTCCTTGTTAGAGGTCTGCTGCTCACACGGAAGCTATTAAATCAAGAGTTCAAGAGCTGAAGTTATATCATCCTTTCGTAAATTTTACGGACGCCATCACTAGTTGGTTGACCATTATGGAATATCTGTTTCACATATGACGACAGATATGTTCCAATTGTCGTAACTGTATCACGTCCCGAGTTCCCCGAATGTGACCTACCAACTTACCACAGAGTTTATACTTACATTACAACACGCTAACACGACGGGTGCAACATGTAGAGCAGGATCTGCTTACCCATCCGGAGCACCTGAGACCACTCCCAGTTTTTGGTTAGTTCGTGTTGCTTAGTCTTCAGTATTCTATGTTGTGATTTGTGTACTGCTGTTTGTATTTTTTTTTACCCATGTCGCTGTCAGTTTACTTTTTACTTATGAGTTTGAATGTCCCTTTGGTATCTTTCGCCTCTTTTTAGACGATCAAAATTATAAAGTATTTTCATTTTCTAACACTTTGTCTTTAATCCTGCTGGTGAACTATTTGTCCCCTATGGTATCATTAGCACGGTTGTCAATGATGCCTTGGTATTGGCATGGTTTATTACATACTTTCGTTAAATTCTCTATTATTAATTTAGATTTGAATACGAATCCTAGGTCCCAACTCCCTCAGGCGAAGCTGACCTTGAATGAATTAGGCTATTCTTTTCAGGTCCATTTTAGTTATGTAGCTACTCAAGTATTCAGGTTTTTGTACATCCTTGGCTTTCAGATTTTTGGTTTGAAGCGGTTCTGATGAAGGTTTATCAAGAAAAGCGCTTCGGATGTAACAACTTTATCTAGTGTCATTTTCAGGTTTTTTTCACACAAAAAAGTTGTTTAACACCACCACTTGTTCGGATTTGGCTATTTTTTTAAGCCCTTTTTAAATGACCGCACAATTTTTTGCGTACGTATTATGTTAAGGCGATGTCTGCGTCATCGTCCGAAGACATTTTGGTTAGCATACAATAACTTAAGTATAAGTGTATGGATCTGTATGAAATTTTAGCACAAGGTTCCATACCACAATAGGAGGGTTGGGATTTATTTGGAAGTTATTGTCATAGCTGTTTTGTAATAAGGGGCCAGAAAGGGGCCAGAAAGGGGCCAAGAACAATTATTTGTCTGGTTTCAAGACAATAACTTGAGTTTAAGTGCAATTAACTCTATCAAATTTTAACACAAGGTTTCATATCACAAAAAAAAAAGGTTAATTTTGGGGGTTATTGTCGTAGCTGTTTCGTAATTAGGGACCAAGACAGAGCCAAAACAAGCATTTTTGCATGATTCAGGATAATAATTTGTATATAGGAGTATATATTTCTATGAAATTTTACCACAAGATTTCATACTTCAAAAGGAATGTTTGGATTGATTTTTTAGGGGTCATAGCCCAAACCTTTTAAACAGGGGTCGAAAAGGGACCAAAACAATTATTTTTCTGGTTTGCAGGCAATGAATTGAGTGTAAGTGTATGGATTTCTATATAATTTTAGCATAAGGTTTCATATCACAATAGGAAGGTTGGACCATGTGTAGTTTGTTGTTTTTTGTCTGTTTTGGACATCTTTTGTATGGTCTACTCTCGAAGACTATTTGCTGATCTAAAAAAGCCTTTGTGTTTTTGTTTGCTGTCACAGTGAAATATATATCGTTTAATTTATAACTAGTTACATCAATTTCATTTGCATAAATGAAATAGTTTGAATACACTGTAGTGTACCATATCCCGTAGAAAAATTGGTAAAATAAAAGAAATTCATTGTTCAATACTCTTTTTCTAGGTCATTGATTTAAACATTAAAGATAACAGGAAGATAATTTAAATATAAAAAGTGATTAAACATGGCAGTCTTATAGGAAGATCTTTCTCGTAGTATATGCAGATTCAAAACATTCAAACAAGGTGAAAAAAAAATCAAAAAATCAATTGATGACAAAATACCAAAAGAATGCAAATGAAATCTAAATATTTCAACAAAAAGGAGCGTCGATGAAAGAAATCCATTGTTCAATACTCTTTTTCTAGGTCATTGATTTTAACATGAAAGATAACAGGAAGATAATTTAAATATAAAAAGTGATTAATCGAATAGCAGTCTTATAGGAAGATCTTTCTCGTAGTATATGCAGATTCAAAACATTCAAACAAGGTGAAAAAAAATCAAAAAATCAATTGATGACAAAATACCAAAAGAATGCAAATGAAATCTAAATATTTCAACAAAAAGGAGCGTCGATGAAAGAAATCCATTGTTCAATACTCTTTTTCTAGGTCATTGATTTTAACATGAAAGATAACAGGAAGATAATTTAAATATAAAAAGTGATTAATCGAATAGCAGTCTTATAGGAAGATCTTTCTCGTAGTATATGTAGATTCAAAACATTCAAACAAGGTGAAAAAAATCAAAAAATCAATTGATGACAAAATACCAAAAGAATGCAAATGAAATCTAAATATTTCAACAAAAAGGAGCGTCGATAATGAAAATATATTTAAAGTATAGAAAAACATTGGTATAGTTGATCAACTCATCATTTATTTTATGAACGATTATTTGGAGATGACTTATTATACTAAAATATCTATGCTAATCATATTCCTTAATTTATATTTCAGCAAGAAATGAAGAAACACTCATAAACTGGAAGGATAATGATGATAAGATGTTCATAACGACAAGAGCTGCCAAGCATATTCTCAAATGTATACAGGAAAACTGTTGTGTAACTATTACTGCTAGTTCTGGTGTAGGAAAAACAGCAACACTCCGACACGTGGCTTTACAGATGGTAAATGAGGAGTATGATGTGCTTATGGTGACAGATCCAGGTGACATTGTGAATTATAACAATCCAAATAAGAAGACTTTGTTTGTTTTTGATGATTTGTGTGGAAACTTTTCTGTTGAACAAAGTGATATCAAAAGTTGGGACCCAGTCATGGAGAATATAAAAATTCTTGACAAAAAACAAACAAAAATACTTGCAGCATGTCGGTTACAAGTGTATCGAGACGAAAAGTTTGAATCGTTATCAATTTTTAAATCATGTGTATGTAACCTGTTATCAGAAAACATGTGTTTGTCAAAAACTGAAAAACAGTCAATAGCAGACTTATATCTGAAAACTAAAGCCGCAGAAATTACCGACTATTGCAATTTATATGATTGTTTTCCGCTATTATGTAAACTGTACCATGATAGTCCTAAACTTGATATCAAAGATTTCTTTCAGAATCCGTTTTCAGTTTATGAAGCAGAAATCATCAATCTACGTAGGAAAGGACATCACACTGAATATTGTGCTTTGGCTTTATGCGTCATGTTTAACAACAAGTTGAGGGAAGAAATTTTCACAGCAGAGGTTAATGAAGCAACCAAGATTATTATAGAGAACACATGTGAGGCATGTAGATTAGACAGGGGAACATCAAGACTTGTATTACATGATGGTCTTGAATCACTTAAAGACACGTTCATTAAACAAGAACAAAACATTTACAAGATTTTACATGATAAATTATTTGACTTTTTAGTATACTGCTTTGGACAGAAAATAATTCTTCACTTGATAAAAAATGCAGACAGTGGTTTGATCAAGGAAAGATTTTTATTAAAAAGAAAGGATGACATTGACCAGTTTATTACTGTAATACCTACAAAATATCATCAAATATTCATACAAAGAATTATTGATGACTGGTCAAAGGGGAAAGTACAAGATGTATTCAGTAACATCAATATGAAGATACCTCAATTCAGACAGAAATTTCTCTGCCATTTGAATACACTAGATATATCTTACCAGAGACAGCTGGCACATATCTGTGATAAACATAAACCATTAAAAAAACCTCTTAATTCGTATTCCTTTTTATCAGATGCTGAAGATGATACCTATGATACAGCTTTATTACAGTGTTGTTATATAGGAGATATTTCCCTGGTTCAGTGGTGTTGTAATCAGGATGTTGATGTAAAAATATGTACACATAGTGAATTGTCACCTGTAATGATAGCTTGTAAACATGGTCATACAGAAATAGCAAAGATGTTGTTAGACAGAGGAGCAGACTGTAATAATTGTGACATGTGGGGTCAGTCACCTGTAATGATAGCTTGTGAACATGGTCATACAGAAATAGTAAAAATTTTGTTAGAAAGAGGAGTAGACTATGATAAATGTAACTGGGTTGGTCAGTCACCTGTAATGAAGGCTTGTGAACATGGTCATACTGAAATAGTAAAGGGGTTGTTAGACAGAGGAGTAGACTATAATAAATGTGATAAATATGGTCATTCACCTGTAATGATGGTGTGTGAACATGGTCATACAGAAATAGTACAGATGTTATTAGACAAAGGAGTAGACTATAACAAATGTGACCTGTTCCGTGAGACACCTGCATGGAAGGCTTGTGAACATGGTCATACAGAAATACTAATGATGTTGTTAGACAGAGGAGTAGACTATGATAGATATAACTGGGTTGGTCAGTCATCTGTAATGATAGCTTGTAAAGATGGTCACACTGAAATAGTGAAGGTGCTGTTAGACAGAGGAGCAGACTATAATAAATGTGACCAGTTTGGTCAGTCACTTTTAGTTCAGGCTTGTGATCATGGTCATACTGAAATAGTAAAGATGTTGCTAGACAAAGGAGTAGACTGTAATAAATGTGATAATGATAGTCAGTCACCGGTAATGAAAGCTTGTGAAAATGGTCATACAGAAATAGTAAAGATGTTGTTACTCAGAGGAACTGATTGTAATAAATGTGACGGGAGGGATCAGTCACCTGTAATGAAGGCTTGTCAACATGGTCATATAGAAATAGTAAAGATGTTGCTAGACAAAGGAGCAGACTGTAATGATTGTGATAATGATGGTCGGTCACCGTTAATGAAAGCTTGTGAACATGGTCATACAGAAATAGTAAAGGTTATGCTAGACAAATGGTCGGACTGTAATAAAAGTGATAATGATGGTCGGTCACCTGTAATGAAAGCTTGTGAGGATGGTCATAAAGAAATAGTAAAAATGATGTTAGTCAGAGGAGCAGACTGTAATAAATTTGATAATGATGGTCGGTCACTTGTAATGAAGGCTTGTGAACATGGTCATACAGAAATAGTAAAGATGTTGCTAGACGAAGGAGCAGACTGTAATAAATGTGATAATGATGGTCGGTCACCTGTATCGAAAGCTTGTGAATATGATCATACAGAAATCGTAAAGATGTTGCTAGACAAAGGAGTAGACTGTAATAAATGTGATAATGATAGTCAGTCACCGGTAATGAAAGCTTGTGAAAATGGTCATACAGAAATAGTAAAGATGTTGTTACTCAGAGGAGCAGATTGTAATAAATGTGACGGGAGGGATCAGTCACCTGTAATGAAGGCTTGTCAACATGGTCATATAGAAATAGTAAAGATGTTGCTAGACAAAGGAGCAGACTGTAATGATTGTGATAATGATGGTCGGTCACCGTTAATGAAAGCTTGTGAACATGGTCATACAGAAATAGTAAAGGTTATGCTAGACAAATGGTCGGACTGTAATAAAAGTGATAATGATGGTCGGTCACCTGTAATGAAAGCTTGTGAGGATGGTCATAAAGAAATAGTAAAAATGATGTTAGTCAGAGGAGCAGACTGTAATAAATGTGATAATGATGGTCGGTCACTTGTAATGAAGGCTTGTGAACATGGTCATACAGAAATAGTAAAGATGTTGCTAGACGAAGGAGCAGACTGTAATAAATGTGATAATGATGGTCGGTCACCTGTATCGAAAGCTTGTGAATATGATCATACAGAAATCGTAAAGATGTTGATAGACAAAGGAGCAGACTGTAATAAATGTGACAAAGATGGTCAGTCACCGGTAATGAAGATTTGTGAAGATGGTCATACAGATATAGTAAAGATGCTGTTAGACAGAGGAGCAGACTGTAATAAATGTGACAGGAGAGTGAGTCACCTGAAATAAAATGTTGCTAGACAAAGGAGAAGATTGTTATAAATGTGATAAGGATGGTCGGTCACCTGCAATGAAAGTTTGTAGAGATGGTCATACAGAAATAGTTAAGATGTTGTTACACAGAGGAGAAGCTTGTAATAAATGTGACAAAGATGATCGGTCACCTGTAATGAAAGTTTGGGAGGATGGTCAAACGGATATAGTAAAGATGCTGATTGACAGATGAACAAATAAGGTTGTTATTGTTATGAATATTTATCTAGGCCTAATTTGTTTTGTGTACAAAGACAATAAAGATGGGTACATAATTGGGTTGTGACTTATTTATAATTGTTGTAATTGTGCAGTTTACAAATCACTGTAACAGTCGTAGATATTGATGGAATAATTGAACTTTCTGTTTGACTTGCATAATAATTCCAGAATAATCATAATCTACGATGCGTAATTTAAACTTCTACAATGTTCTAGAATTTTCCCTTCTACCGTTTTTTTTAGAAATTTCCCTTCTACAGTGATCTAGCATTTTTCTTGGTATCTATATATACAGACACCAAAATAAGCCTTATTCAGAAAAGATATCAGAAAATTTCTGGAGTTGTTGGATTAACATTTTTTTTAGGTTAACAACATCAACGTTTGTGAACTTATTGGACATAGGAATATTCCATTTGTATTCCGCAACAGATAAGAGAAGAATTCTGGATAAAGAAAAGACTAGGATCGGACATTCAGATATTTTGACAGTTAAGTCGAGATTTCTATTTGTATAATATTTCTTGGAAAATTGTTTAATTTATTTTTGATTTTTGTCTTTTGTTGGCTAAAACCACCTAGTACTAACAAGCATGTAATGGCCAGAGGTGAACAGCTATTTATTAGACGAATGAAAGTTTATGAAAGAGCAAGATAAATACCCCGAGGTTCTCCAGTTATGCAAGAATGCTCAACCATAGGAGGAAGCAGACAAAGTAGCAGAATGTTACTACCTTTGAGACTATTTTAATGTGGAAATAGAGACCCTTGATGCTATCCCAGAGGAGAAATGGGGAGTGGTTTACCAAGTGTTGGTGTCTAAAGTATATAGGCAAGAAGTTATGGTCTTGCCCATGACACCCACTTGACCGGACATTTTGATATAAGAAAGCCTTGCAATAAGATCTTGAAACATTTCTGGCCCAGACCTCTGATGATGTCACACAATTTTGCAAACCAAGCCATATATGACAGGCTGTTGATTAGCCTTACCGGAAAATGCCACCTGCACAAATTCTGCCAATTCCAGTCTTTGAATACCCTTTCAGCAGAGATACTAATTGATTGCGTTGGATCTTTACCAAAAACTCAGACTGAAAATGCGTATTTATTGACATCCACTTGCTTTCCTAATGCTATTCTGTTAAGGAATATTAAGACACCAACTATTGTCAAAGCTCTTATCATTTTTTTCCACTATTAGGACTTCCTTAGTCTATACAGTCAGGTTTATTTCAGCAGGTCGTTTACCAGTTAGGGATTGCTCAGTATAGATCAAGTGCTTATCATCCAAAATCTTAAGGTGATTTATAACGTTTATATCAAACATTGCAGAACATGATTGGTACTGTTTGTCTTCAATTTGACAGGGACTGGGATGATAGTGTTCATTTTCTACTTTTTGTTGTCCGAGAGGCTGTTCAAATATCCCTTTGAGTTAGTATTTGGTCATACTGTAAGGGGACATTTGAAATTAGTTAAGGAAAAGTGGCTTATTTAACTCAATGACTTTAATCTTCTAGACTATGTTTCTTGATTTAAAGAAAAATTGTATACTGCTTGTCAAATTGCTCAGAAAAATTAAAAAAATCTAATGAATAAGATACAAATATGGTATGATGAAGATGCAAGGGACAGAGTTTTTGAGCCTGGTGATAAAGTACTAGTATTTTTTTCCAGTCCCTGTGCATCCTTCACAGGCTTAATACTTTGGTCCTTTTTCCATAGAGAGTAAAATCGATGATTTGAATTAAACTGTAAAAACTCCAGGTCGGAGTAAACAAAATAGAGTGTGTCCAATTAATATGTTAAAACCATATTTTGAACGTACTAATGAAGGTGAGAGCAAGCCAGTTAACACTTTAGACATAGCTAAGTTGGAGAAAGATCATGACAAACCAGATATAATTAAAAGACCTTTTGATTCGAAGACTATTGAACAAACAGATCGATAGAAAAATTCAGAAATTTTGTCTCAAAACATACACATCTGACTTTTGATCGCAATGAAAAATTGTAAACTTTGGAATTTTCTATTAAAAATCTTTCCAGACGTGCCAAACACAACCACTGCTGTTTGTCATGATATCGATGTAGGTGATGCTTCTCCGATTAAGCAACATCCTTGCCGGCTCAATCCACTAAAACTCGAATTTATGAGACAAGAAATAAGATTAATGCTTGACAATGATATTATTGAGCCGAGTAACAGTGAATGGAGCTCTACTTGTCTCCATGTGCCCAAACCAGATCACAACTTTCGTGTCGTAACTGATTCCGGAAAAATTAATTCAATTTCAAAATCTAATTCTTATCCGATTCCAATGATAGACAACTGCATTAAAAACACTGGGTAAGCACAATTTGTGAGCAAATTTGATTTATTGAAAGGTTACTGGCAGGTGCCCTTGACACAGAAAATTCGTGAAATATTAGCTTTCGTCACACCAGATGGCTTATTTCAGTATCCTGTCAAGCCGTTTGGTATGAAAAGTGCTCCAGCTACATTTAAAAGAATGGTCAATAATGTTGTAAAAGATTTAGACTGTTGTTATGTTTATATTGATGATCTTATTGTATGTAGTGATAGCTGGGGAGACCATTTAACAAATTTATATTATACTATGGTAGATTGTCACAAGCAAATTAACTGTTAATCTTGGTAAAAGTTAATTTTGTCAGGCCACTATTCATTATTTAGGGCACACAGTTGAACAAGGTAACGTGAAACCTATTATGACTGAAGTGGATGCAGTTACCAAATTTCTTCCTCCTACAAATAAAAATAACTTATGAGATATTTATACATGATTGGAATTTACAGGAAATTCTGTTCAAATTTTGCTACTTTTGTTCAACCATTTAAATATCTTTTACGGAAAGATTCTTAATTCATCTGGAGTGAAAATAGCAAATCACTTTTAATAAACAGTCCGGTTTAGATCACTCCAGACTTTGAAAAATAATTCAATCTTGCTGTTGGCGCAAATGATGTAAGAGTTGGAGCCGTTTTATATCAAGGGACAGATAATAATGCTGAGGAATAATTTAAATGTCACTAAATAACCCTAATTGTGTAATAAAAACAAACAAACGATTGGTAAATTATAGGGTTCTGAACAATAATTAGACATGGTCAAGAGAGTATGCGATAGGAAAATAAGCTGTTTTCAACATTAGTTCATATTAGATATGGTTAGGAGATTAAGTCGTAGTAAATATTGGGTTTGTAACTTTAGTTCTGATTGTACTTATTCACAAGAGTTTGTGGTATATTAATTTTTTTTGTTACATTAGTTCTAATTTAACATTATTTAGGAGTATAGGCGGTACAAACGTAGTGCAGTAAGATGTTTTTTCATATAATGCATGCTTAGACATGGTTATATAATCGTTACAAAAATACGTCACTGTTTGTGATGTCCTGTGCTGTCGTTAATGGAAGATGTTCGTTGTTATTCTGTAGTTTACATGTTGTAACGACTATTATATTATTTATTTGTGCGTTTCTCTGTGCTGAGTGTTCTTGCGTTTGTTTGTGCTGTATTTCTGTCACGTAGTGATGTCATTTTAGCGATATTTTTTAACATTGCCATATAAGCGGGAGGTTTGGCTAGCCATAAAACCAGGTTCACCCCACCATTTTTTTCTTAAAATGTCCTGAACCAAGTCAGGAGTATGGCAGTTGTTATCAAATAGTTCGTTTCTATGTATGTTGGCGTTTGTTTTTGTTGCACTTCAGTGTTTCTGTTGTTCCGTTGTTTTCCTCTTAAAATTGATGTGCTTCTTTGGTTTTAGTTTGTAACCCGTATTTGTTTTCTTTCAATCGACTTATGACTTTTGAACAGCGATATACTACCTTTGCCTTTATTTAGGATAGTAAGTGGTAGTACATTTTAGTGTTTGTAATATTAGCTTTGACTAGACCTGATCACAAGAGTAAACGGATATTAATTCAACTATTTGTAACTATTAATTCTGATCGAACATTGTCAATAGAGTTATGTTTTTAATTGATTACACTGTAATATTTATTTCACGAGGAAATCTTCATCAGAGTAACAGAAAAGGAAGAACGCTGTTTTCATTCAAGATCTCATTGGGCCAGGATGTGGAAAATGATTATATTATAAATTTCTATCTTTTTTAAATCAATTTAAAAGATTTAATCTACTACTTTAAACATTAAGACGCATATTCCTTAATTGTCCAAAGCTCATAGACGTTAAAAAATTATACAACACTTTATGAATTCCATGTGTCTAAAGCGCTTTTCTGGATTAACCTTCATCAGGAACACTAAAATATTTGAAATCCAAGATGTATATAACAGTGATTATTAAAGATGGCTATTAAGAATATGGTTAAACCTTAAAAACACAGTGTTTTTGCATGGATAAACATAAAGGCATAAACCAAACTTAACTGATATTAAGTATTTCAAAAGATGCTGTGTCCGTTATCAGAACCCAGTACAAGTAGCTGTCATTAATCATAACCATGTGAAAGAACAAAGTAGAAATGTTTATGTTTTTTTCACCTTTTTCTTGCCATAATCTGTTTGAATGACTGTTGTGTCTAAGGTAAAATGGCTTAACAACGATATTGAATACAAATTGTTTTTTATGAAACCTTGGATTTCACAACATCATTAGGACAACAATCCAACAATATATGATCAACAAGACTGGCTGAGATCACCTTCAGGTCATCAGTTATAGACAAGCATACAAACCAAAGGTCAAGTTTTTTAAAAACCTGAGGTTTAATAAGCTCCAACAGTTTAACAATATTATCAAATTAATTGACAAAAAAACATTGAATAATGTATCAAAGATATTTTTTTTAATATTTCTAGGTTAAAGGATAGTAGGTTGTCTGCCTTATGGAAGGTCATTGCATACACTGACTGCAATACCAAATAATAGGTTACTTCTATATGGAAGCTTTGATCAAAATAATACACATCTTAATTAGTGACTCACAGTTAGGGGACGACCATTTGATATTCGGGGGTGGTTGGTAAGGTGGGGCGGGGCTT